GAACAACACATTCCTTGGGAAGCCACTCCAGCCCTGACCACCTTTGGCCTAGAATGAACGCCCAAGCTTGGTTAGATGTAACCTGGATCAAGTATAGGCCCGGTTTTCCTTCTATCTTGGCCCTGATTACATTGCCTCATGATTGTCTATTTGCCAATTACCCCACAAAGACAACCCACACCATGGGACACAAATTGAGACTTTTATCTTTGATTTCTGTACTCGCCAAGATGTGCCTTCTCCTGTCATCCATCCTGCCCTCTGCTCTGGAGGCTGACCTGGAAGAACTGTTTCTGTAGGGTTCCTTGCCCTCTGGCTTCTGGTTGGGGCCAATGGGAGAGGCCCCAATAGGAGACTGGAAGGTGGGGAGTGAGGTCCTGGTGTTTGTCTCTGGCTTCCTCCCTTAGGAGATGTCCTCAGGCTGGCTGCACCCCTCACTGAAGTTCACAGCTCTGCTTCTGGTCTTCTTCTTCCTCCTCAAACTAGAGGCAGTGTGTTTTATTTTACTTCTAATGGAGTGCAGAATAACACTTCCATGAAATACAGTTAAAACGAATTCCTTAAAAATGAATTATTAGAAAAATTAAGAAGCAATGACTTACAAATATAAAACCAGATTTTTATTACTAGATTTAAAGTCATAAAGTTATATTCAAAAATATCTATCAGAAGAAACATAACATAGAAAAAAGAAAACAATTACAAAAACTGTACATGTTGCTCATTGAAAGTCTGCACACAGGTTATTAATGCAGAGAATTGTTACTACACACATAAGTTCTTGTTGTTCCACAATGGCATCTAAACCAAAAACTAGGAAGAATTTAGTAATTGCTCATATTAACTGCCTACACACATTTTGAAAGAACAATATGTATATCAGTATCTTAAGTTTCTAATGGGACAAACATCTTGCGTTTTTCCTGTTAATTTATCTAATCTAGATTGGATTGACAACACTGATATCCACAGGATATGATGTATATGTAAACTGTTTCAACATTTTTAAAAAGTTATACTTATGGTACGGAAATCAGTCTCAAAAAAGTTTGTTGACAAGAATGAAAGAACAGATATTAAGCAATCTCAGCAGGCACAGGCTATTCATTTTTTACTTTTATGAAAAATGAGACAAGTGATGCTATGTTTCAAATTCATCTCCAGGGGCTGTCTCCGTGGCCGAGTGGTTGAGTTCGTGGGCTCTGCTTATGCCGCTTGGGGTTTTGCCGGTTCAGATCCTGGGCATGGACATGGCACCGCTCATCAGGTCATGTTGCTATGTCCCACCTAGCACAACCAGAGGCACTCACAACTAGAATATACAACTATGTACCGAGGGCTTTGGGGAGAAGAAGAGAAAAGAAAATTAAGATTGGCAACAGATGTTAGCACAGGTGCCGATCTTTAAAAAAAAGAAAAAAATTCATTGTTAGTCTGTTATCAATAGCCAACATGAACAATTTATCTCATTAAGTTATAATTCTGGATCTATTAATTGGTTATGCATAGATCTTCTTTTGATGAAAAATAGAACTGAAAATGTTCTATCAAATTTGTAAGGTGTTTGGTGTTAACTTTCTACAGATATGCAATATCAGGATTTTTACCACCTTCGTGGATAATTGTTAAGTAATGGAACACGCTATTCCAATTTGTAGAAACTGTTCTTCCAAGCTTGTACTCCTTCCTCGTGTGAAAGTATTAAGATCATTAAAAATACTCAAGATATCAAACAAAAAAGCAGGTCTGACTGTCCAGTTCACAACCTGAAAACGTTGGGACCAAACTGTTGTCTTATTTTGCAGAAACACTAAGGGTTCATTCTGTAGTTCAAACAATCTTGACAGAACTTTTCTCTTAGATAACTATCATACTTCAGCACATAATTACAGTTGTTTATGATCAGCTTCCATATTATCACATAATAAAGAAAATAATCTCAAATTGTACACATTAGCTAGCCTTTAAGGAATTAACACTTTTTATGACATCATCTAGAACACTGAAAGTTTAGCTGACATACATACATTTATTTATTTCTTACTCATTTATTTGGAAGTGGGGGAGGAGAGCATGATTGCCTCAGTGAAGGAAGCAGTGTGTTGATTTACATTCTGGCACAAGCTTCTTGATCTGAATCCAGAATGTTTTCCTGTCATTTCAGCTGCATCATTAGAACACACTCCTACACAAAACTAAACTTCAAACTACATTTGCTGACACTGCTCACATACTTTAATGTTATGGCAATGTCAAATTGCTATAAAATTTGCTAAACATCTACTTTCAATGCCATACATATCTCCTTAAATAGACTGATAACAGTATGCAGACCCGCACAGTCCTCCAATTCACACTGTGAGTAACACTGCTCTACACCGTTCTCTCTTATTCCAACTTCCAGTAAACTCTCCCCACCCGCTTCATCTCTTCAAGCCTGGGAGTGCTAACAGTTTGGCTGCTCTGGATTACTGTACCATTAGTAGCTCCAGGTTACTGCATGATTCCTTGTGGTTCCCCGACAACTACACCTGTATAAATTATTATTTTGTTAGGAAGCCCCCTCCTTGAAGAATCCTAATCTAAGAGTGCCATTTGTTTTCTCTTGGGATATCTTTTCTGATACAACCTCCTAATGTAGCACTGTGCCCAACACGGAGAAGATTGATGATTCATGTCTACCAAATAAATGACCAGGCATTGCTTCAGGGAAATAAGACAATGTTTTGCAGGAGGTTGAGAAAAGGAGAGGGCCAAAGGCACAACACGAACTTGGGTTTCTTCCTGAGATGGTCATTATCTGCTCTAGATCCAGAGTCCTAGGCCAGAGCCACCACTAGCTCATTCGATGCCTTTGTGCAAATTAGGAAAAGGCCCAGGCCCTTGAAGGAAGCAGACCCCCAACACAGGGCTTGAAGAGTTGAGTGTGGGCTTTCAGCCCCCCAAACCAGGCGCTCTATGCTTGAACAAAATGTACAGTCTTAACGCAGCTCTTCTACCCTAGGTCAAGCAAGCTGGCAGGTCACTCCAACTTAAAAATGTGACCAATGAAGTATGATTCTTTAAGGAAGCCTATTACAGTTCAGATTTTGTGGAAATGCGATATTTTTGTTTGCAGGATGATTTTTTTTCACGCATATTCTCCTTAGCTTCCTGAATGTGGAGGAGAGTCCTTGCTGGCATAGTTCAAATAGATAGTATTAAAATCCAATTGGGTCACAGGATCTCTGGGGCCAAATTCCTTTTGCAGTTCTGGATATAATTGTGCTGCCCCTGAGAGACCTTTAAAACCCCAAACTGCATGGTGTGTGACTGACATCGGCCCCAGGGAGTGGGGTGGGGGTGGTATCATGCACTAGCTCTTTAGGGCTAGAGCTGGGCACCACTCACATAGAGGGTGCACTGATCCCTGGGGGATGGGGAGCAGAGAAGGAATAGTTCAAGGAGCAGGCTGGGGAAACTGGACAACTTGTCAGTGTCTTGTGATTCACACCTTCCTGTTGTAGAGAAGTGATTTCGTTTGACGTGAATTCCCAGAATGCTGACACACCCACACGCACGCGGGCCCAAACCCATCCCGGAGCTTCTTGTGAATGAGCTGAGGGTTTGGACCTGCTTCTATCCTCAGCACCATTCCGCGCTCCAACTCGAGCAGCCTTTCCCCCACGGAAGTGTCGGTGAGAGCTATAGCTATGGGAAAATTTCAGGGACTTGCATTAAATTGACTCCATAATTCTCAAGCCTGAGAGGGAAAGTTGTTTCAGGGGAACCAGTTCCATGTCTTTGCTAGAAGCTTGACAATCTTTACTTCTCTTATTTCTTAACCTCCCAAAAAGATTGGTCAACTGTTGGTTTGGTGGTGATGACAAGGATATTTACTCTATAATCAAACCAAAAGTGGTGAGATTGGGAGGACCTGGGAAAGGTGAATAGGGAAGCCTGGGGAAAGGTATTTCTCTTCTCTTCCAGAACTAGAGTCAACATAGAAACACCTTTTCATGCAGCCACTGGAGTCATCACTAGAAAGTAATACTGCATTTGGAAACTGAAGAAATCTCAGAGACCATTATCTCTTTGTTTTAAAGATTGGGACATTGACACTCAATGAAATTTATAATTGCTGAAGATTACCTAGGAAATGATGAAACCAGGGTTAGAACTCAGGTCTTGTGACTGTTAGTCCAGTGTGATTTCTACTATGCTATGCTGATTTTCAAAGTAGCTTTCTTATCACTCATTCATTTATTCATCAAATATTTACTGAATACTACTCTGTGCCTGGCACTGTGATAGCAGGGAATAAAACAGACATCGTCCTCAGGGAACTTAAGTATAATGAGAAGACATAATAAACAAATAATTATATAAACAATTACAAAGGTGATGAATGCCCAGAAGAATTAGAGAGTGCTATTAGAGCTTATAGAAACAGGCCTTACATAGCCCAGGTGGCAGTGGTGGCAGTGACGGCTGTTTGATCTGGGAAGGCTTTCCTGAGGAAGTGACATTTAAGCTGAGATTTGAAGGATGAGTAGAAGATAGTGAGGTGAAGGGCCCAGGAGAAGGGAAGAGAAATCTAGGCAGAGGAAAAGACATGTACAGTGGTCCTGAGGCAGGACAGAGACGGAGCTTTGAAATAACTGTAAACAGACCCGTGGCCTAGTGTATAAATGGTCAGAAGGAGAGGGGTGTAAAATGGTTTGGGAAGGTAGGCAGAGTCCCACTGCTCAGAGCCTTGCACGCCATTGATTCTAGACTTTATCCTAAGAGTAATGGGAACCTATTGAAGAGTTTTAAACATAGAAGTGTTACGATCAGATATTAAAAGATCACTGAGGGGCTGGCCCCGTGGCCGAGTGGTTAAGTTCGCGCGCTCCGCTGCAGGCGGCCCAGTGTTTCGTTGGTTCGAATCCTGGGCGCGGACATGGCACTGCTCGTCAAGCCACGCTGAGGCGGCATCCCACATGCCACAACTAGAAGGACCCACAACGAAGAATATACAACTATGTACTGGGGGGCTTTGGGGAGAAAAAGGAAAAAAATAAAATCTTTAAAAAAAAAAAGATCACTGAGAAGTCTGCACTGGTGGGGAGCAAACGTGGATGCAGAGAATTCCTTAGGAGGCCTTATCAACAGCTCGGGTGAGAGAGGACGGTGGCTTGGATCAGAGCAGGCATCACAATATGGAGAGAAGTGAAGACATCCAAAGATATTGAGAATGTAGGCCCACAGAACTTGGTACTAAATGGATGTGAAAAATGAGGAAGAGAGGAGGTATCAAGAGTAGCTCTCAGGTGTTAGCATGAGATGGGGAAATGGTGGTGCATTCACGGAACTAGGGAACATGGCAGGAGAAGCAGCCTCCAGAGTAAGACTGAGAGTTTGGACATGTTAAGTTTGAGGGGCCTGGGAGACAAAGGGGAGAAGATACAGAGAAAGCAGTTGGATATATGGGGTTGCAGTGCAGAAAGGAGTCTGCTTTGGAAACAGAAATTTGGGGGTAATGTCATAGAGACTGTAATTGAAGCCATGGAGGAAATCATTTAGGAAGAGAGAATAGGCCAACAAGAAAAGAGATAAATAAAGGAAATAACCAAAGGGTTATCCCATTGCAAGAAATAATGTACACCTAAGAACATACAACACCTTATTTTTAAGATCCATGATGGTTATTATGCTATTGTTTCTCAGTTTCAAACCTACCCTTCCATACTCTCCTTGAGGTGCTGGGGATGCAGACCACATTTCTCTTTTTTTTTAAAGATGTTATTTTTTTCCGTTTTCTCCCCAAAGCCCCCCGGTACATAGTTGTATATTCTTCGTTGGGGGTACACATTTCTCTTTTGCCTACAGGGCAATAGAGGCTGCTTAAAGGGGACCAAAAGGCTGGAGAAAGGAGAAGGGATTTGTTCTTTCTCTGTTTTTCTTCCTGTTCCCGTCAGCATCACCCCAGCAGCAGTCATTCAGCCTGGTGGTGGCAGTTGGTTCCAGGAGCAGCAAGCAATTCCATTTGCAGTGTTTATATACTCAGACCTAGTCTTGCCACATCCCCTCAAAGACATTGGCCTTACTGCCCCCAAATACCAATATCTTCACCACCATGCTTACCTGAAGATCATTTTCCCTGAGCCTAGCCTCCGTCTCATGTTTCTCACTTATCCACCCAAGAATATAGTAGAAACTTGGTCAAACACCTGCACTCTAGCTGCAAGAGAATCTGGAGATGTGAGTTTGGACTCCTCTATTAAGGAGGTGGGATTCATAATGTGGGAACTGAGAACTGCAAAACCCCTCAGCGTGAACACTCCATTCAAACCCCTGCACTAAGAGACTTAACCAAATTTTAACATGGCTTCTAGCAGCCTAAGGCCATCTCCCTGGGACACTCAGTGCTCTTTTGAGTCCCTGTCTGGAAAGGCTCAGGGCTGTCAAAAGAATTTACTGTCTGTTCTAGCCAACACCTGACGACAGGTCCCTGATCTCCCTTTCTCAGAGCATTTATTAAGAAGGGCTTGCAGTTTTGAATCCTTTCTCTGTCTCTTTGAGATATATATGTATCTCCTACAACTCAGGAGTGTCTTTCTCAAGGACCTGAACATCATTCCTTTGAAATGTAATCATCAGGAGGGATGGGGCTTCTGCCTCCCAAGCTCTGTGGGAGGACAGAATCCTAGCTTTGATAATCGCCAGCTAGCAGACACAGCAGGCCTAATCACATTTATGGTGACCATTGCTTTGTAATTTTTTCACTTGAGTCTCCCTATCCCGGCTCCTTCGTTCTCCCTTTAAAACACCTAGTCCCCTCTGCCTGTATCAGAACGGAGCTCAGCGCTTTTCCCTGTCACTGGTTACTGCATAAAATCTGTTTTCCCTGCTTTAGCTAATGTCCAGCTTTATCTTTGACAGAACCTTCCCAGATGTAAAGAGACAATTTAAAGATGATTGGCAGCCATGGAAATGGCAAATGTCAATAACGGGGGTTTAGTAGTTCTTTATTTTTTTAATTATTTGCCTCTTGCTAGGAAGGATGTAAGGAATCATACTAAAAGACATAATCCAGTAAGAGTAATAAAATAAGGCTAAAAAGGAAAAATAAAAACAGTCCTGAGAGAAAGGGACTGTATTGGTTAGGGTACAGGCTAAGCCGACATAACAAAGAGACTCCAAAATATAATATTTAAACTAGAAAGAACTTTTTTCTCTCATAGATAACAATCAGGAAATACATTCAAGAGTTGGAAGGGTGGCTCTTCCATCATTAACATGAGGCTCCTGTCACTGAATCCAGGTTGGCTGCTCTGGTCTCAGCATTTCCACCAGTAGGAAGCAGGGAGTCGGGGTGAGGGAGTAGTAGGGTGCCTCTTCCATCCTTTTAAAGCCAAGACTTGGAAGTGGTATAGATCCCTCCAGGCACATCCCATTGTCCATACCTCGGCAATCTGACCAAACTTGGCTGTGAGGAGGGTTGGAAAGGTAGTCTCTGGTTAGGTGGCCATATGTTCAACTAAAACTCTTATTTTGAAAGAAGAGAAACGACGGGTTTGGGGTGGGGGGACAATTAAAGGTCTGTCACAGAGAACATGAATATCCCAAAGAAAGAAATTCGTCGACATTTGCAAACTTCTCTCATAGGGGTGCATTCTGCCATGCACAATGCAAGCTGGAGGTGCCAGAGTGAATGCCTCCAGAAGCAGCCCATAACCAATACAATACACACATATAATAAATACACCACTTCTGCCTCACGGTTGGGATAACTTTGAGGCATATTTTATAACGTTCCTGGAATTCTTGGGGGATTGAGCTACAGTTGCCTACATGGTAATCTGTTTCCTTTCCCTGTCTCTTGCCTTAATCCTTTATTTGTTTTTCCTGGGGTCACCTCCAAAATAAATTGCTCCTGCTGGAATCTTTGTCTCAGAGTTTACTTCTGGGAGAACCCAAACTAAGACCAGCTCTGGACTTCCTGGGAATCCAGAGGGAAACTAAATAACATTATATTTATATATATTTAGAAAGTAGAAAATAAATAATTTCCTCAGTTGATACAAAGTATTTCTCCGATTCCAAAAAAAAAGGAAAAGCACTCTTACCATCCTATTTTCACACTCTCTGGTCTTTTGTGGTGTTCATGTTTGTTCTGCCTTCAGGCCTATAGTTCCTTGACACTTTATTCCCTTTAGAGCTAGCACACTGCTGTGCACACAGTGGAAATTAAGTAAGTATTTGAATAATGAATATATGAACCTTTTCCAACACACAAAGAAACCGAGACTCAGTTAGAGGACGTAATTGGTCACATGTTCCATGGAGAGTGACCAGGGAAGCCAGAATTGGCTTCCATGTCCACTGACCACTCATCTGGTTTTCTACCACAAACACAGAGTCTCCTCCCAGGTCTCATCTTCATCATCCCTGAGTGGAACCAAAGGCTTTTGGGAGGAGAAGCATGTTTGGAAATGTTAAAAGTATACCTGTCTTGAGTGAGCCAGTGCCTCTTCCCCTTGGCCCATTAGGTCCGAAGGACTGTGCTTGTTGCCACTTAATTTTTCATATCTGGCAAGATGACACCTAAATGTAAGCAAGGAGATGACTATAGATTCCAGGCACTTTGGCTATTCAAAGTACTATAATGCATTAACTGATTATGGCAAACCCCAAACACAGAATCAAGCCCACGTTTCCATAAATCCCTCCTAGAAACAGCACCACCTTGAAGCCCTGGAGTGTGGGCGGGGTGTGGTCTCGATTCACTTTGCAGTTGCTCTGCAGAGAGGATAAAAGTCTTAATGAAAGACCCAACAACCATCAAGCGAGAGGAGGAAAGGCCTATGTAAGACCCATAACCTAAACTCAAAGCACAAAAGTCCTCACTCATCCTGGTCTGGGGAGGAGGAATTTGCCCAATGAGGATGAAACTTCGAAAGTGTCAGTTGAACTGGTTGTTTGTCCTGGGGCCTCAGGTTTGTATCAGCCTCTGAGTTGCCTCTATGTCAGGTATCTTTTTGTGATAGAAAAAACAGCAACTGCATATTCACTGGTCTTTTAAAATTTCTTTGCAAAACCCCCCTCTGATTTACCTCTCTCTACCTTAAATATCTATAAATCAATTCAAAATTATGTTACTTTGCTATGTAAATAACATATGTTCAATAACAATATTTCAGAAGATATAAATAAGCAGAAGGAAAATCGAAATCACTTGAAAAGTCACTGCCAAGAAATAACCATTGTTAACATTTTGGTGTATTCTTCCAGACATATACACAACTTCTTCTTCCCCTTCCCCTTCTCCTTTCTGTTTTTTTGCTGAGGAAGTTTCGCCCTGAGCTCACATCTGTTGCCAATCCTCCTCTTTTTTTTTGCTTGAGGAAGATTCACCCTGAGCTAACATCTGTGCCAATCTTCCTCTACTTTATATGTGGGTTGCCGCCAGAGCATGGCTGATGAATGGTTTAGGTCTGTGCCTGGGATCCGAACCTGCAAACCTGGGCTGCCAAAGCAGAGTGCACCGAACTTAACCACTACCCCACAGGGCTGGCCCCTATACAACTTCATTTTACTGACTGCATGTTATTCCATTGTGTGGATATAACAAAACTTATGGTACATTCAATTCTAAGACACTGGTTGCTTTCTTGTCTTTTACTATTATAAAAAGAGCTGGAATAAATATCTTAACCAAATCTTTGTTTTTTTTTTTTTAATTTCATCAGTAAATAGCTCTAAAAGATAAGGATTCTCATTTAAAAAATAATGGTAACAATACTATTGTCACATCTAAAAATTAAATAATAATTCCATAGTATAATCAAATATTTAATGTTCAGATTTCTTCAATTGCCTCATAAACGCTTGATGTTTTTAGTTACACTCTCTTACTTTTCGTAACCAAATCTTGATGTACATGCTTAATTAGTTCCTGAAGATAAACGCTTAGATTTGAAATTACCGGGTCAAGTGTATATTATGTCTAGATCTAGAAAGATGTTCTCACTCAGCTTTAAGCATTCCAAAAGAACATTTTGTAAGAATGTGACTGTGGAAGAGATGAGGAGGACATCTTTTTATTTGAAGTTTTCATATGCTGGTGACAGATGGGAGATAATACTCTGAAAGGTTTCGGAGGATTTACTGTAGTAAACCCCAGGCTGATTTCCCTCCTGCCTCCCTCATCAGTATCAGAGGGCTCAGGAGGACCTCCTGTTGTATTAATTAGCCTCTGTGGGGGAGGGTCTGCCCCTTCTCAAAAGCCAGGTGGTGGTCCTGAAGGAGCTGGTCTCTTGCCCAGCAGTCAAGACTCTATCTGCAGAACCAGGGATGTTCCTAAGAGGAAGATCTGTATTAGGAATATTGTATCTCAGACTTGTGAAATTTCTGCACCACTTTGCCCTCTCAATCCTAAGTTATTCGCTATTTTATATTTATCTAAAATTTACAGTTATATTTATAATTTATATAGAAGCAGGAGTGTAGTGGAAGCAGCTAGACAGACTTGGGTCCAAATTCTGACTTTGTCAGTTATTTGCTGCATGATCTTGGGCAAATTACTTTCCTGTTCAGAAATTTGAGGGTATAAGTGATAGTTTAAGGTTGCTACAGTGATGAAGTAGTTTGGCACACAGTAGGTGTTCAATAGATATTAGTTGAATGAGTGAATATTTGCTTACTAGAGTCTCATTTTTTGTTTTTTGAGCTAGAAGAAATCTTAGTGCATATCCTCTTTATTTTAGAAATGAGAAAACTAAGTTCAGAGAAAATGTGAAATTTGGTCTTTCAGTTATTCATTTAGTAAACATTTATTAAGCACTGAGTCTGTGTCAGGCACTGAAGATATAATAATTAGTAACAGATGGTCGCTGCTCTGAAGGAGTAAGGAAGCATAGACTGTTTTAAAAAGTGCTGAGCTGTATGTGTTATTATAGAGTTATCTAGAACTGTGCTGTCCAATTTGGTAGCTACTAGCCACATGTGGCTATTTAAATTTAATTACAATTAGATGTAATTAAAATTCAGTTCCTCAGTCACTTTAACCACTTTTCAAGTGCTCATTGGCCACATATGGCTAGTGGCTACCGTATTGGACAGGGCAAATATAGAACATTTCCATCATTGCAGAAACTTCTACTGGGTGGTGTGGCTTTAGATATTCTCCCCAGAATAACTTTCATATGCACATATACTTCAAATTTGTACAATTTCAAGGTGTTTACACCTTGGTCTGAAAGCCCCTTACAATACAGGCAAGAGAGAATTGATGAGCATTGGTAAGTGAAACTAAAATCAAAAATAGAAGTTTAACTATAAGCCAGAGTCCAAACTTGTGAAAATTTCAGCTTTGAAATTTTCTGAGTTGACTGAGTTGGCTGCAGCAGAATAATGAGTCACTTGTTCATTTCAACAGGGATGGGCTCCGTTTCCTGTGCCTTGTGGGGAGCCCTGTGGTCGTCTGGGCATATGTGGCCTCATGCTGATGTGTGCACACCACACAGGGAGAAGTCCTCACAGCTTCCCTGGGATTTCAGTTAAACTAGATCACTTCTCTCACAATTTACTTGCAGTCTCTTTAACTGAGGACATTACATTGCTTTCATCTCCAGTAGGCTATGTTCATTCAATGATCACTTATTGGGTGCTTTCTATGTCCCAAGGATTGGGCTATGTGTTATATGAAGATGATTAAGACAGGACATTTATAACCTAGCAGAGAAAACAAATATGAAACCACCTAGTCACAAAAAAGACAAAACTAACGCAGTAAGTGTCGGAACAGACAAGTTACCAGGAAATTGAAGAAAAGGAGAGGAAAAATTAAATTTAGGTGACTAGGGAAGGCTTAATAAAAGAGATGGCATTTGAGAGCAGCCCTACAGAATACACTGGAACAGAATAGCATGGAATATGCTATCACGGGGAATTATTCTACATTCAAGTTCTTGAAGTTCGAAATTCTTCTGTACATTTTGTGATCTCTCCCACTCGTTCTTTCATACATAACTTGCTCTGACTTCCTGGAGACTTTCAGACTCTCGACCCCATCTTATACTCACGGTCCTTCATGCATGTCCAGGTGGGACTCCACGGTCAGAGTTTTCAACCAATTTTTGTCAGCACTCCCTTGTCCATCTGTCTTGCCCATCCTCACCCTTGCTGAAATCAAGGTCATTCACTCAGTATGAGGTCTCTTAACAATCTTCCACTCTAACGCAACATTTCTTGGTGTCTTCTCCTATTCTCTCCTCTACCCCCATCCTCTGTGGAGGGGAGATTCCCTTTGATTGAGTAAATTCTTCACCCATCCTTTCTGTCCACTTCCAGGACTTAGTTCTATGCCTTATTTCCCCTCTTGCATCTTCAGTTTTCCTTGTCTATATATGTCTCTCTCCTTAGGGGCAGATGCAGGTTTTGTAGGTTCTGAACCTTATTCAATCTTGGGAACCCTCTTCAAGAAAAAGAATACAGGGGAGATATCATCAAGATGGGGGTGTAGGCAGATTCTGAACTCATCTCCTCCCACAAACACAACCATGTTACAACTATTTTGGGAAAAATTACTCTGGAGAGAAAACTGAAAACTGGATAAAAAGAATCCCCACAACAAGGAACAGTCCTGACTAAGGCGGAAGAGGCAGAAATTCCTGCTGGAGAGAAAAAAACCCACCTTCGGGAGCAGCAGAGTTTCTCAGCTGACCAGGCAGGAACTACCCTAAGGTACACAGCCCTCCCTGGAGGAGTGAGGTCCAAAGCAGGGGCGATACTGCTATAAGCATCCTTCAGACTCAGCACAACCGAGACGAGGGTCTTACTATCTGGCTTGGCTGGCTATTAACTGTAGTGGGGAATACCCCCAGAAAAGCTATAGGACGAAAGCTGAAAAGACCCCGGTCTTTAAGGGCCCACGCACAAACTCACCCATCTCAGCAACTTAAAATTACCAGAGAGAAGGCTGACAGTCTTTTAGTGAACAGAGACTCACCTGGTGGGCTTTGGGGGCATCTTGGTGAGGGGAGAGAACTCTTCAGAGACTGAGACATTGGTGGGGGCCATTGTTTTGACCTGGTCTATGTGTGCTGACACAGACCCCAGCATACATCATTGAGGTTCTTCCCCAGGCCTGTTAGCCTAGTGGTCTGCCATGCCCACTAGAGCACAGATTTAACCCAGTTCAGCCAGGGCAGGCAACCCGCCCTAGGGACTGGCCCTGCCCAACAGCAAGCCCTCAGGCTGCTTGTCAGCCTGCATTGTCTGGGTGCCTTGATCCTCTACAGGCAGGCAAGTGTGTTTGCTTCTGTGGGGCAGGGCCAGTGTGAGGACCAGGTGAACTGTGGGGGGTACTGGTGGAGAGGTCGGGGCCTCTGCAGTGGGGCATCGGGGTACACTCCAGGGGGTTGGGAAGTGTGTATGGACCAGGACTGTGTTGACAGTGTGTGTGGTCCTGTGGAGGGTGAAGCTTATCAGTGGCAAAAGACCTGTGCTTCACAAATAGCCATAAAAAGGATCAACCCAACCTTCCAAAGCCTGAAACAATTGAGTGTTCCCATGCCTAGGGCCAGCCTCTCTCAGCTGCACTC